CGTTTTTTTTTTTTTTTTTTTTTTTAGTGAGACGCTCGATGGTGTGAGTGGATGTAGGTATTCACCGGTCAGAGGGATGATGTTGGATGGTTTGTGTTTACTGTATTTTATAAATAGGGCGGTGCGGATAAATCGATACGTGCTACTTTCATTCATGGCGGCCTCCCCCACGTTGGCACACGTTGATGTTGCTGGCTGGTATTCTCCACCAGCGCTGTGCTACGCCACCCTCGTCATCCCTCTCCTGCTTCATCCCCTTCCTGCGTCATTCGCTTATGAACCCAAAGATCCCCACCCTCGCTTTTGCAAACCCCTGACAGTCCTACCATCATGCTTCCCCAGTCGACCCTATTCAGAAACAGTAACAGCCTCTCCCAACACCTCGTCACTCCATGGATAGAATCACCATTCCTGAAGACCTGCTTCCCCTCGTTTGGTGAACCGACACCAAGAGGATAGGGGAAGGGTGGTCTACTACGTCACGACAACCCCTTCCAACCATCCTCTATATCAACTTGCCGCCCCTGCGGGTACTATTTTTAGAAACTCCATATAACGTCTGCCATTGTAATTCATAGAGGGACAGTAGCCGAAGTCTTTCTTTCTTTCTTCTTCCCTTAGTTTCCTACAGCCTCTTCATTCCTTCTGCACTCGGCTCCCTGATTTTCATCCTTTTCTTTAGTGACACTTTCAGGTTCATCCCGGTACCACCGATTGTCCCACATGTAATCTTCAACCTTTTGTCATTTATTCTGCTTCGAATTTGCGAGTCGCCCCCCCCCCGCCTCCGTCCTTTTCTTGCTTGTCTTCTTGGCCTTTAACGTCGTGCAGCCTCAATCTACGGTCTAGGTATATCGTATGCCTTAGATTCCGATACGCATTCCCAAGTGAGGTTAGGCTGCTTTGGCATATCTATTAGGTGGAGCAATGTATTCAGCCAATGTTTCCGAGCAATCACATGCTCTCCTGTACTCTGCTATACATTCTCTACATTGGACAACGTCATGGGAACATTATTGTACGCCGATGTCTGACATTCTGCTGCTACCTATTTTCAGCTATGTATAGATATATGTCTCTGTGTATAATTACGAGGGATCCTCTCGCTATGCAATTACGATACTTCTCGTGAATTAATGGTGGACACGACGCTGCTTCTAGTCACATTTGCGACATCACCGTACACGCTTGACGTGATCTTTTCACCTTAAGGGGATGGAGCGACAGGTCCTTCGAATATCTTTTTTCAATTTTACAATCTCCGCAATTCTTGCGTAATTGCAGGCCTCGCTTCGGACTCTCAATTTCTTGGCGGTTAGATTGGACGACTTCAGGCGGTAGATTGTGTGATGCCTTTTTCGTCTTTATTACATATTTCCACGTGGCATAAATATCGCAGGAAGATTGGCTCGGATTCGTTGTGTATATTTAACAGGTTGTTATGTGGAATCAGTGAAAGTCCTCGCAGGAATTCTTATTACGGTTATCTTCGACTTCCTCGCATCTGCACCTTCTTATTTGTACTTTTTCGCTTCACACGCTTCTCTACACACGTGTAGATAATCTTTGGGGACTTTCACTGAAAACTTTCGTATTCGAAAATGAATGGCGTCGCGTGAAAGACGAGTTTTACATGGACGTTTCGATCTGTGAGCAGGTGGCAATTATCAAGTGTCAAAGTGTTGCTTGACGATAGGAGAAATGTCGAACCAGTTTCAGTACAATTGTTGGTTAATGGCCAAGTTGTAAAATCTTGAAATGACGAAGCATAAATGTCTGCAGGTATTTCAAGGAAGTTGGAGACTCCGAAGGAGTCAAGCGTCAAGCGTGAAGCGTCTTCCGCGTAGGAGAGCACAGGGCGACACACGAGGAGAGCACGGGACGTCCTTCGAGTTGCATCACGTCGAGGTTCACTCTTATAAATTAGTTAAACTAGTGCACCGAAACTAACCCAGTTATGTGAAAGGGGTATTGAATAAATTCACATTCACAGCGCAGCCGCTGTCTCTGGACATTGCCGATGCCTCCTCTTACGCGGTCCATCACGACCTGTCGGCCCTGTCGTCGAATACAGTAGAACAGAGCGCGGCTGCGGTTTGTTCAGCGAGATACGAAGATCGTTCCTTAGCATCTCCAGCATCTCGCGGGTCGCTTTGCGTTCGGTTAATAATAATAATAATAATAATAATAGGAAGGGCCTTCGTCTGGAATCGGATGGACCACTCGTGGATCCTCGTAAAAGGTCGTGTGGGCCCGGTCGGGCTGATCCTGTAAACTAGTTTCGCTTTAGTCAGCCACTTAAATCCACATTCTTCTGCGAATTTTTAACGGGAATTCAAATCGCGCGCACATACGACTTTGATACATGGAGAGAAATATCTTGGATCTTATCATGTTCTTGGACGTATGTCAAGTGTACCTCGACTACCTGGGCAGGAACAGAACCTTAGGAATTCTATGGGCTATCGTTACCTTTGTGCGCACTGAGGATTCTGTTGAATTTTTACGATGGTGCAGAGCTCATACTATTCCTTTTTTGCGATATCGTCAGGAACCTCTTCGCGTTACCAGGAACGAGAGACTCCAGGAGTGCAGGAGACTGCTGCGCTTACTGCAAGAACTCTTCTATTGCGGATGCCTGCCACAAAATCAGCTGAGCCTCTGAAAGCAATACTCGAATAATTGAATTCAGCGTATGTTAATGAATCACATACCAAACGCAGCCAAATGACGTCACACCCGAAGCCATGTTACTACACTCGTGGAACTAGAGAATTTTTCGAACGTATACTTTTTTCATTTTATAGAGCGACGGCATCTACGAGCGTGGATGAGGGCAGAGCACCTCTACGAAAGGGATGTCTGAGAGCGAAGGAGAGCAGGCAGCTCGGTCTGTGGCCTTGGAGCAAGCTTACGTTCACGAGGTCTACGAACAATGCGCTGAGAAGACTGCCCAGGGTAGGCATTGGCCACGAATCTACCAGTTTCTTGAAGAGCTTGAACCAGGAGCCCTGGTCTGTGACATTGGTTCGTACTGCAAAGTTTAGTCGCATGATCGTACTATGTCGAATCAGACAAAAATTTCTTATCGTCAAATTGTATGATTTACAGGTTGCGGTAACGGCAAGTACCTGAGCGTCAATCAGAGTATATTTAAGGTCGGCGTCGATCGATGTAAACGACTCACTGATATCGCCAGGGAGAAGAAGAACGAGGTTTGTCATTTTCCCCGGGATAAGACCTTTCGATTCATTTTCCAATCCCAAGATTATTTGCCATGGAAGTAGTAATATGATTTTCTTTGGACAATTTATAGGTACTCATTTGCGACAACTTAGCTCTACCCTTTCGGGATGAAAGTTTCGATGCTGTCCTCTCCATCGCTGTTGTTCATCACTTCGCTACTACCGAGCGAAGAGTTCATGCCCTGAAGGAATTGGCTAGGGTTCTGCGCATCGGTGGCAGACTCGTCATCTCGGTCTGGGCCATGGAACAGAGGCATAGAAAGGTGCCTAGTCTCTTCCATGACTCTTCAAGTTCACTATTGCCAAGTCGTATTATTATTTTACTATGAGTTGACTTTTTTTCAGTTTGAGTCGCAGGACGTACTCGTTCCGTGGCCCAAAGCATATTGCTTGAATTCTTCGGTCAACGGTACTAGAACTTCCGGCGTTCCTTACTCTGAAGAAACTCTGCACTGTGATCAACCCTCGAAAAAGGATTTTCTTATTTCCAAAAGGTAAACGTCTTTATCGACATACTGCCCCCCAGTTTTAAGAGATTTGGTAGTTTCTCTCGCGCCAACTATCTATTGCATACCGGCGACGAGACGATTTAATTACAACGAAATTATTTGTGGAATACTGTAGAATGGAATATCTTGTATTTAGAACCAGTCAGCGGAAATGTAGAAGTCGCAGTTATTGGATCGATCCAATATTCAGTCCGTCGCCATCCACAAGCAGTCTGTCCAGTCCTAACGAAACGTGTTATAGTTTCTTTCGTCGTGCTTTACAGGTGTGTATAGAGGCTAACATATCAGTTTTGTTGCTCTCTATTCGTACCTAAAAATGTATATTTACTTATAGAAACTTGCCGGAGGAAAACGTGCACCTGGAAGCCGTCCTTGGTTCCTGGAGAGTTGGCACAATGGTAGAGACAGGCCTCACTTAGAACACGAAGACAGCGGCGATGTTGACGACATACCGATCGAACTACGAAGGCTGGAGGACATCGGTATGGCTAACAACAAGTTACCCGATACGTTGAGCGTAAAGTCAAAGAGCCTCGGCGACATCCTGGAGATTCAGAGATTGGACCTGGTGCGGTCCAGGTCGAGTATTCCTGGGCTGTGTTCAACGCTTACCTCCGATCTCTTCCTTGATGAGCACAGCGAGAATAATTCCTCACAAGCGAAACCGCGGCTCGTAAAACAGAAATCCCATTTCATAGAGGATACCTGTCTGGAAATTCCTAACACTGCCATTCAAGAACTCCTCAAGGACCTTCCAGACTTTCAAGTAGGTACCAATGGAGTAACTCGGGTTATTCTAGGTAGGATGTGTCTCAATAATTTAATAGTAATCAAAAGTAATTATTTGTCAGATCGGTCCCAGGTTTCCGGTAAGACGAGGCAATGTACATAAGCAAAGTTCCATGAATGAAGAACTCATGTCCGCGGATCGTCTGCGGGAAAAGGAACGTGTGCGTCAGAATATCACGAAGCAGGCTTCGTTGAACGAGGAACTTATATACAAGAGAAAGGCATTCGAGGCATTTAAAGATTCGATATATTCAGGAACAGCCACGAAGAGATTTCAACTATTGAAAAGCGATTTAACCAATCGTATAAAACAAACTACCACCGACAAAGTCTCTGGATTGTCGATTAGGAATGGTTTCGTAAAAATGTTGCAAGGCTGGAAGTCGACAGAGAGTGAGTTTCCACCTCAGCCCGTGAATGTAGTAAACATACCGAAGAAGGAATCCGATCCGATTGAGAGGAGATTGAGCCGAGAAGATGGCTCTGATTCATCGAAAGACAGCAGTTTGCAAAGTGACACAAGTGTCGACTCTGAGGACAGTTTCGCTTCAGTTATTTATGTACCGAAGCCTGAGCAGGTCGAGAGTTCCACCAGACAGCTGGCAACAACTTCAGCACCACCATCACCTAGGATTAAACATCCTCCTGACTTGACATCATCTAGATTAAAAATGATCCCCATGTCGCCGTTGTTGAAGCAATTTTCTGCTGGTAGCAAATCATTGCCTCCTCCAAGTCCTCCGGGACTTTCTCCAAGGACTCTAGGACCCACACCAAGAGCATTTTTCGGTGGCTTTAGTAACGGACCGTTTAAGAGTTTGATCAGCACCGAGAAAAATTCTGCAGATCTGAAGAAGGAGGAGTCCAAGAAAAATTCCGAAGTAGAGATTAAGAAAGAGGAGGTGAAACCACCAGCCCCTGTGAAAGTGGATAAGCCTCTTCAGGATGAAGACGAGAATCGCAAAGTTCGACTCAATCAGATCAAGGAATTACTCAAACAAAAACCGGGATTTGCTACAAGGTGTACGAAAACGGCATTTCCCTTGGTCAGGAGAGCTTCTACCGCTACTACTGGAAGATTGGAAACAGTTACAAGACCTTTACCTAGGTTATTATCATTGGAATTATTCAATCCAGAGACCGACGACTTGGACAGCGATTCTTCCGGGGTTTCTTCGCCAGAGTCCGTTGGTTCCGTCATTAGCGTCATTTCCGACGAAAGATTTACAGTTAAGGTTAAAGGTACGCCAGAGAAGTCAGGTCGTAAAATGATTAATATAATTTATTCATGTACTTACGGTCTTTAATTTCACTACTTACGAGTCCTTTTTTCAGCAACAGTAGAGAATTCCACGGTGGAGAGTGTGACAGAATCGAAGGAAAAAACTTCGGTTGAGAAAATCGAAACTGAGGAGGATAGAGCCTATGATTTATTATCAAACACTAGTCCAACGAATATATCGACGGAGACGTCTTCGCAGTCAATTCGTTTACTGGAGGCTGCTGCGCATGTGGCGAATTCTATCGAGGATGCCGTGGAAACTGCTATTAAGTTAAATATGCAAGTTGAACCAACAACGCAGAGGTCCAAGGAACGTCGGGACTCTTTGAAGACATCCTGCGACGACCTCCAGGAGCTGTTAGATACGAAGGACGTGGGAAAATCCTGGAATGAAGAGTGCAGACAGCATTTAATAGACTTCACTGAGAAACTTAGTGAGAATCTGATCAATGATATTGATCGGTACTGTCAATCGAGCAAGCTGGACTTGGCCGACACGAAGAATCCTGACGTGGATGCGCAGGGCGTAGCATTGAGAACTAAGGTAAAAGCAAGTAAGACGAGAAAATATAGTGAATTGGCAGACACCATTGCCTGGCTTAAGAGCTCAGGCATTGAGGATAAAGAGGCTAAGGATCTTCTTCGACAGAGTCAAGAGAACATACTCGACTTTGTCCTTGTGTCCGATAGTGGAGAATTTGTCCAGGAACAGTCGCGCAAAGATCGACCTTTGCTTGGCTTCTGTAATTCCGTAGAATCTAGCGATGTGGGCGACTCCGCTGAGAATACAACGAGTATCAGCGAGGAATCTGGTTCAATACTGGTAAGTGCTTTCACGTTTTCAATATAATAGGATTGAGAAATCGTTTTAACGATTGTCTAACGATTCTTAACGTTCGAATAAAATTCTATTTAACAGATGACCAAGCTCGGAAGTACCGGATCCCTCCAGCAGCCTAGTCAACCTCCGGAAGAGAATCCACGATGTACAGAAAATTTCAATGAATGTAGTATGAGCGCTTCATCGAGTCAAGAATCGTTACCTTCGGATCAGAACGGCGGTGGCGCCATTACTTATCATCAGTACTACCACGTGTTCCGGGAAGGTGAACTGGATCAGCTAATCGAGAAATACGTGGAAAACTTGCACGTCATATCATCGTATTACGACCATGCAAGCTGGTGCATTGTCGCCGAGAAGGTCCAAGTGTGGACTATTTGACTGGTGGATATGACTTATTATAGAGAATTCCTCATCGACACGTCCGGTCCCTTTTGCTCTTTCTTGGTGCACAATGAGTGAGCCCATCGTGACAGTTTTCATAAAAAATGTATCCAAATTATTTGCAAGTCCATGCTAAGCCCTGTGTACCATCAGTAGGAGATACACAGTGGATTTTCTTGATTCGGGGATGCCTAAATTGAAGCTTTGCCTAATTTAAAGAGAAAGAAAGTATTTAATATACGTATGTTTGTTTTTAAGAATATATTATCCAGCCGCAACGCAGGAGCACTGTATCCAGAAAACCTGTCGATGAGGTCTAACTGACAATGAGCCATATCGAAGTTCCTAACAAGGGTGATCCTTGATCGATTCGATGATTCCCTTCGACATGGACCTTCCGCGTGGCTCTCATTTAATTATATAGCGTACGCAGCTCCAGGCTTGTATATATTGTATGATATACTACGGGTTATCCGGGTAAGCGCACAGAGTACCGGGGTACTCGGGTTTGTATCACACACAACACCGATAGCCTAGGAATTTGTATTTGACAATGCCGGATTCTAGCTTGACCAATCCTAACATTTAATCATTTCACGGTTAGCCGATTAGTTTGTATATTCATCGATCGTCCATTTACTTTGTGTATACACTTACACACATAAAGAATTACTGTATAAACGGGGGAGAGTCCTTCGACCCGATTTTGGTTCGACCAAATCTCTACCATTTATATAATTTCATTATACTTTCACGATATCGAAATATTTATTTACACTGTAGGATCGATCCTTGACCAAAGAGAGTTAGGATGAGCGAAAGAAAGTGGGTAAGTAGAATATACTAGGTAGCTATTTTATCGTGATATTTTTTTTTTGCGTTCATTTATAGTAACAGAGTATTATAGGAATTTATGACCAAAAAGTGCTGTAGACTCGCTTTTCATATCAGTCTCTTCATTGTCTAAATATTTCTTCATCTGTTTCCTCTTTTATATCTTTACTATTATCATTAATTTATTCATTTGCCTCATTATCGCATTTGCACGAGTCGTGCTCGAATACTTATGATGATATAAAATAACGCAAACTCCCTTGTAAATATAAATAGCGAGCGATTCCCATTTAAAGACTTCAAGCGAGTTTTTCGAGATTATTCGGTAATTAATGTTGTTTTACGTAACGTCTATCTTTGTGATAGTATATTAAAGAAAAATGGGAGTGATGAAAATCGCCTCTGGGAATTTATGATGGTACCGGAAGTTGTCGAGACCAACGTGATCGAGAGGAAATATAGAAACCGAAAGGAAGCAAATGGAAAATATGAATAAAAAGACGAGGCAAGCATATGAGTACCTATAAAAAAAAGTAAATTAAAATATCAAAAAAAAAGGTCTTTATATTCGAGCCGAGGGTTTAAATAATTCAATATTTGACGAAGCTCAATGTTGTACAACTTTCTACTAATTACCCACTAATAATAATTAACCATTACCGCAAATTGAATTCAGGAAAAGAAAGATCAGTTCGTGGGGAGCGAAATTGAAGGAATCATTAAAAGGATTGTAATATCGTAAACAATTTTGTTAGCGTGCTAAGCGGAAGCAGTGAATAAAGTATTGAAAAATCGTTTAAGCCCAAATGCCGACTCGCCTTATATTCCAAATTCATTATAAAGAACAGTTATCGATACTCATATATATAGCACACATATGTATATAGATGGTCACACGCGACAACTCGCCGGAAGGATCGTAAACAATTGTTTGCTTATTTATTGTCTATTGATATTAATAGGCAATGAGGACTCAGAGAGGCAGTCAACGAATTGTCAGGGTATACACTTATTTATTTATAGTAGAAATTATCATCTTACAAATACGTTCCTCTTTGCGATAGGTAATAATTCTTTCGTAACTTGGAGTTGTTCTCAAGTAATAAAGTTTTAATAAGTTCTGTTTTAAGGCTGCGCGATCTTGTTACGCTCATTTCAGCATGCGTCTGGTTGTTCGAAACTGTTTAAAGATATTGACAATATGTATACATAAACAAGGGTTTGTGAGAGAGATGAAACCAAAAAAAAAAAGAAAATCCCACGGAATAAATTTTTGTATAAAGTTCTCTCATATTTCTAGGGTATTTAGGGATTAAAAGAATTACATGCGACAGCAACGGGTACAATAAGAGCAAGAGTAAAGTCGAAAGCAACAAAATCATGGCAAAGAACAACAACAAAAAGTACCAAAAAATCAATGCACGGTTTAAACCTAAGATCCCAATAGAACTAAATGTCTTAGGCATAATGAAGTCGAAATTTATAAATAAATAATATAATGAACGATAATTTTTACGCTGTTTATTATACACGATGAAGGCACTTGAATTTTATTATTGTTGACTGTGTAATCGGAGAAACAAAATAGGTGTGCGTATTTCTTATTAGGAATTTGTTTTACAACGATATTAGGTAAGTATAAAAATAAGGGAAACTTATTTAATTATTAAAAAAGCTTTATAAGACGAAATCTGTGGTTACAAATTAACGACGATAAGATTGATTCATTTATAAAGAGAAGTTATACATACTATCACGCGACAAAAGTGCACATGATTAATTACTCGTTGAATGTACAATAATTAATGGTTTTTCTTGCAGAAACATTTATGTATACTGTGCATGTATATATATTTATATAACATATACCTATATACTTTTTCTCTCCATGAACCACGTAAAAAGCAATTGTTTATCGCTGTGAGTTTTTATCACATTTATTATTAATATTATTATTTGTATTATTACAAATGAGCCTGACTACTGACTTGAATTACAAAAAGTATTGATTATTAATTACCGAACCTAAATACAAATTTTTTAGAAACATTGTTAGGCACAACTTTGTGCTTAACAATGGCTCATATTCAAATTTTATAATAGTTAATCAAAATAGAAGTAACCTGTTGTATAAGACTGATGGAATGGATTGCTTCTTCTTTCTTGGATTACTCCTTAGAAAATTTTAGAAACTAGTATGTTTTAATAAAACTTTACTGAACACTGAGTAATTCTAGCCAGTTCCCAACCCCCTTAAATGAAGCACGAGGTTCATACTAGCTAACTATCTACACAAGTACTTTTATAAAAACTGTATTTACTCTCGACGAAGATTTTCCAACCTAGCTTGTAGATCAGCATCTGCGTCTGCAAGATTGTTAGAATCTTCTGATGTACCTGCTGCAGCTGCAACTGGCTGTTTTGCACCTGCCACACTTAGGGAGCCAGAAGCCTGTGGTAATCCTGACAATTGATCCGATAACTGCAGACCCAGCTCGTCCAAGACTTGCGAGACAACAGCATCACTGGTATATAATTATTTAATTGATTAATAACCGTTGAATGAATTTCATTAGTTACATTGTACAAGATAAAGTTTAAATTTTGCATCTTTACCTTTCATCTTCATCTCCTTCATCTTCCATTGCGTCATCTATTGCATCATTCATTATTTCTTCTTTCATATCCATTATCTCAGACTGTTTCTCAAATTCTTGGAGAATCTTCTGTATCTGAGGAAGATTTAGCTGTCTGTGGATAGAATAGTGTGATTATTAATTAACTACTTGAGATAGTTAAAAGAATTTCATGTCTGTAATAAAAAAGAACGTACTTGTTCATAGTTTGCATAGCTTTTGTTACACCTTTCATGGCTTGTGCCATGGTATTTTGTGAGCGTAGTGTTTGTATCTTTAGCGAGACACCTTGTATGTTAGCTTTCATGAGCATAAATTTCTTTGCATAGCGGCGAGTCCTCACTAGATCTTTGGCCATTATTTTTACTGCATCCTGCACAAAACACATATAGCATATGTAATATTCTACAATATTACAATGATTTGACTTATACCATTTGACCATCTTTGGCGAGTTTCTTTATGTCTGCAATGATCTTTTTTTCCTGCTGTTCCATACGCATCTTTTCCCGGTCTAGATCACGCATAGCTTTATTAAGGGCACGCTGATTTTTACGTAGCATCTCCTCAGGAGTTATTCGTTTGCCAAATAACCACTCCATGTTTACCTAAATGGATACAACAAAATTATCGATAAAGAACTTGGAAGCAGAGCTAGTATAGAAGGGTAATGTTAAATATAAAATAGTAATTTCAAATTTAAATGTTACAGTCCATTACTAGGAAGACGTTGTAATATTTATCATAAGATCATGTAGAAATTATAATTAAAATTTCGACAGAAGATAAGAAAATCGTGAATGAGTCACCACCATCATTTAGGAGATGAACTATAAATTCTTAATTCAAGCTTACAACTTAGTTTAACGAGCAAATAATGGGAATATTTTAAATTGATCTATCTCGCATTTTATTTCCCCAAATGCTGTTATTACAACTTATAAACTAACACTTATTTGGAGGTGTGACTGAACCAAAAACACTTCTCATACGTCAAAAGCAAAGGGAATAACAATTTTTCTCAGCTGATGCGAGTTCCGTCCATCGATGTAAAAATATCTCATGATATGCTTCCTCATAGAAAACATTGTTTCCATATTCTATATCGGCAGAGCTGCATTAATGAAGTATAAATCACAGTAAAAATTCGGAATGAGTCCAATCACTTGCTTGCCGAACTTCAGAATACGGACCCGATTTTTGAGTCACAATTAGTACTGTCATTTTCCACCACACGTAGAGCAAGTGTTCCAAGCTACACGAATGACGATAGGTTGGATAACCCGCGACAAGACGACGGAAGAAATACGCTGTACAGAAAAAATGTTCATGGCCTAACGTCTAACGGAAGGGATGGAGGTTGTAGCGTTGAATATCGTGGGGGGTTTACCTCAGTTAAAAAAAAATCCGGTCCACTTTGGGGCCTCGGAGGGGTCGTAGCTCCCTTATGGAGAGGCAGAACCTCACGGAAATGGGCGAGGAGGGGCCCATTTCGCTCCCTTATAATTCCTACTTTTCCTACTTTTTCCACTAAATCAATTATTTTTGTTCCAAACACCTAACTTATTTAAAATTTGGTGTTTGAAACATTAAAATAATTAACTAAATCAATAAAGTAAAATATTAACACTTAGTAATCGGAAATTCTGGCCAAGGATATTTAGAAGTACTGAAAAATGCCTAAAATTGTGTGCGCGCAAGTTCGTCGCGCAGGACTGGGTGAGCGGCAGCAGGCGGATGGTGGGGGAAGCGCTCGAGGCAGCGACCGGACTCGGAACGCTCATTCTTCCTCGAGCCGGTCTCCTATACTGGTCTCTTGGAATCATTTCGAACCTTCCTCTATTTTTATATTTATTTCTTCTTTACTTCCTTATTTCTTTATCCTTCATTCTTCACTTTCTTATTTATCTTTTTCCTCATTTCTTCTCCACTTTTATAACTTTATTCCTTACTTTTCTACTTCTTCGCTTCTTCACTTCTATATCCATTTACAACCTTCTTCTTCTTCTATATTAATTTCTTCTTCAATTCCTTATTTCTTTATTTTTCATTTTTTACTTTCTTATTTATCTCTT